AACTATTTTGTGCAAGTCTTTATGGATTTATCAATTTGACCAGATTTTATTATGAAACTGCTCGCTAATCTTTATCTCGTTGGTTTCTTTGCATGTACACTTTGGAGCAATTCTGAGTCTCAATACGAGACTCGTTGCCGCCACGAAGTCACCGCCGCTACCATGTTTTCTCTTTTGTAGACCTGATTATTTATGTTGGGTAGAGACAAGAAAATGCCAAAGTTAATTTTGGCCATCCCTAGAAAGGGGATGTATTATCATTGTTATTCTGTTTTTTTTATTAACTGCTTTCTTATTATACATTTTACTTATCATCACTCTTAATTAATTCTTGCATGAACATGTAAGGGTAATGGATATAGTTAAACATCGAACTAGTAATTCTACTAACATCTAACTGTCTAGCAGTGCTTATGAAATCAGTTAAATTGAATAATAATTAAGTCAATATGGGTTGGTCTTAGTTTTATTCCCATTAGATTTTTTTTTACCAAGTATTTTTTCTTATCATAATAGATGTGATTGTCCTTTAAATCAATATAATGCTTTGTCTATCTATTAGATTTTTCAAACAAACAGGAAGAAAATACTTTGGCTTTCTAAACTTTCTTAGTTTCAAGCTTCACTCTTTGGGAAAATGACGTCTTTTTTTTAAGCCTCTACCCATTTTGATTCAATGTCCTCTTGAAATTAAAATCTTTTAAACCAAAATTTTGAGTTGTCAAATAACGTACAATATTTTGGTGTAATATTTTACTACTGTAGTCTAATGGTGTTACAAAGCTTTAGTTAGATTACACTAAGTCTGAAGGTAACCGCGTCTCATGCGGATCTTGAGGGGTGCCTCACACCTTCCCCTTAAGATAATTGAACACTTACCTAGAATTTTTAGGTTAAGCAGACCATTAACAGAGTTTTACTTTATTTAATTACTTTAGTCACTTTAGGTATCCTAATTCACCATAAAATAATTAGGTGGCGACTCTTTAACATTAATAAAACTTAGAATCGCCTATATGTTGTACCTTAATTTAACCAGTTTAAAATGGGGTATAACAACATCAATTGTAGCTAATTGAGGACAAATTAGTCCATTGCATACCTTAGCTCAGGGTCCGATTCAAAATTACCACTGTGGTGGATTTATAGGTTAACTAGGCTTGAAGCCATGTTCTTGTCATACCTGCAAAGTAACCAAAAAAATAGTGTTATCAATGATTATTTGTTATCAAAAGTTGTACCTTTACACAACTCCATAAACAAACCAACAAAAAAGACAAATTTTTTAAGTAAAAAAGCTTCCAAGATTCCTTTTTCGTCCCAACAAACCCTATAATATTCAGAAATACTCTGATGGACCACTAACAAGAACGAGACCCAACAAACTTCACAAAAAAAATACATAAATCTAAGATGAAATTCTGATTTGACAAAAAAAAATCAAAAACTAAACAGAATTAAAAAATATGCCATTACATGCATGACATTGCATTAAAAAGGGTTTTCACTTGAAAATGTAACGAAACAGAGCAAAAACCCCATATATTGAGGAAAATTAAACAACAATTACGACCTAACCCAGCCTTCCCCTAAAAATCCTAAACAGAGCAAAAGCCCCATATATTGAGGGAAATGAAGATCAATAAAGATAAAAGATGAAGAACAATTGAAGAAACTTACCCCACAAACTTCGATAACAACTTCGATGATGAAAATTCCGGCAACGATGACGGAGAAGAGAGGAGAGACAGAAGTGGTTCGAGTTATTTTCCTATGTGGCCATAATAAATGACCTGGAGCCTACATGGTTTAATTTTCTTGACGTGGCGTCCTACGTATAGGAGATTGTATTACACGCACTGGCAGCCTCCTGTCATAAGCGTTTACTATACACGGTTTGAAGGAGTGTAAGTGTTCAATTGGCAAATTGTTAAGTTTGGGGATCGACATGACAAAGTAGCACATGTATATGTGTCATTTAGGCTATTCTGCCTCCTTAATTTATGCTTATTTTTATATAAGAGTAATTTCAGAAACCACTATTGTTTAGTGGTTATTAACTTCCTACAGCTATCATATTCATAATTACTTCCTATAGCTACTGTTTAGTTGTTACGGTAGTGTATTCGCTGTATTCGCATGAATACAACAACAAAACACACCTAAAAATCAGGGTAGTCTAGTTGTACGCGCATGTATTCACATATATTCGCGCCATGCATTCATGAATACAGCAGTAAAAAGTGCCTAAAATCAGGGCAGTCCAGCTGTACGTGCATGTATTCACATGTATTCGCGCCATGTATTCATGAATACATCAGCAAAAAGCGCCTAAAATCAGGGTAGTCCAGCTGTACGCGCATGTATTCACATGTATTCGCGCTGCTGTATTCATGAATACAACAATAAAAAGCGCTTAAAATCAGGGCAGTCCAGCTGTATGCGCATGTATTCACATGTATTCGCGCAATGTATTCATAAATACAATAACATCAATCACCTTAAAAATAGGTATGTCCAGCTGTCTAAGAGATAGGAAAAACATAAATAGCGTATTTCATGCCTCAATGTTAGTATATACCATAAATACTTTGCTATTAAATATAAAAGGTAGCTACAGAAAATAATATTTTAAAATAATTTTAATTTATAATAAATAGGGTGTATACTTTTGCCATAGGAGGTAAAATTTCCTTTTTAAATTGCAGCCAATAAGTAATGGATTAATAACCTCCTATAGCAAAGGTTGATACCTTATTTATTTTAAATAAATACTCTTTTAAAAAATATTTCATAGCTACCTTTTGATTTTTTATAGCCAAATATCTATTTATGGTCACCTCCTACCCTTAAGCCATAAAATAAGCTTTGTATTATTTTTCTCTCTCATATCCCCTCAAATTTCTCCTATCTCCTACCCCATATCTATTCTCTCTCTCTCTCTCTCTCTCTCTCTCTCTCTCTCTCTCTCTCTCTCTCTCTCTCTCTCTCTCTCTCTACTTTCCGATGTCTTCTCCTCCGCCGGACGTTGGAGCAATTGCCACCGTCACCGTTTCGACCGTGGCTGTTATTCATTGATACCGCCGCCCTCAGCCTCCCAATCTCATTCTCTGACGCAACGTATCGGATCAACAAAAACCTCCGTTATTTCGCAGGTAATTACGTGCTAATCGTCGGCAACCGGAGGCAACAGTGACGGCGAGCGAGGATTGGATACTGATGCTGCTTCAACGAGACGACATTAGGGTTGTTCTTGAACAAAGACGACGGAGTTGGGGGCTGAGCAACTTGAATTTTCTGTTAATATAGTTCAATGTATTTCAATGTATCTTGCTGTATTTTATTGTATTCATTGTCTTTTTTTCATTGTATTTCAATATATCTCGCTGTATTCTTTGTATTTCATTGTATTCATTATCTTTTTTTTCATTGTATTTCAATATATCCCGCTGTATTCTATGTATTTCATTGTATTCACTGTCTCGCTATATTCCATGAATGTATTCATATATATTTTTTAATTAATATAATTTCTCTGAAGATTGCTATATTTTTGGGGTGTTTTTCGGTTGAGAATCTTTTTTATAACTAGAAATACAAAATTTGTGTGTTATAATTGAGTTTGTTAAGTTATATTAGGCGTCTATTATGTTAATTGATTCACTTTCCGTTCAAAAACAGTGTAATCCCCTGTTTCACGCCGTGAATACAGTTGAATACAATCGAATACAATAATCTGCCCAGCTGTAATCCCAAGTTTCACGCCATGAATACAGTCGAATACACTCGAATACAAAAATCTATCTAGCTAATACATCGAATACACTCTAAAAAATCTAAAAACATAGCTATACGAAGTAATATAGTAAATGATAGCTACAACTAGCTAATAACCACTAAGGGTGTGTTTGGTATTCCGGAAAATATTTTCCGGAAAATATTTTCTCATGTTTGGTTGGCTTAAATGTTTTGGAAAATATTTTCCTCCAATTAGAGGAAAATGTTTTCCTCCAATTAGAGGAAAATGTTTTCCCTATCAAGAGAAGGGAAAACATTTTCCAAAACTCCTTCTCAAGCTTTCCCACCCTATTCTTTACCCTCACCAACCCACCCCCACACCCACCTAACCCCACCCCATGCCCTCTCTTCAAAAATATTTTTTCCTGTCACCGCCCACCCACCCCCACCCG